TACCAGAAATTGTTCTTTAATACGGGGTGGGAGAAATATTGAGATAATTTCTGCCTGAACCACCCCCCAAGTATCTGTGGATCCCAAATGCGTTCCTAAAATATGCATAAGTCTACCCGATGTTCGGGTAATCAACAACGCCATAAATTCTGTGTCAGGTAATAATTTTAATTCAATTATCTGATTTACTTGAATTAAAAATTTAAGTATCTGTTCAGGGTCCATATCTATCAAGGGGGGAATAGCAGCAGTTAAGTCAGTCACTACTTTGATCTTCATCTTGTTTACGGGAGTACCCAAATGACTTGTGGGATCAGTAATCGGTTGAATGGGGTTCATAGTTTCAATTGATTTAGCTGACGCTTGTGGAGGCAGGTAAGGCTCGATCGTGGTCCACTTATCTCTCACCCGCTTCCTCAAGTCGTCCAGCGTTCCTTCCGTGGATACACCTAGATGGCTTGCTAAACTCTCCAGCTGCTGCTTGGACAATTCATGGATCCACGCGCGTGGCATTTTGACTAAGCATGGAACACAAAAAGAAAAATATAAATACAATATACGTAAACATACACAGAGCCTATGACAGTTTATTTACAATCCATCGGCCCAGGCACAGCCTAGGGGTCTAACAATTAGCGTTCCAAAGGTCCTAAGTGAAAATCGATCGCTCTGCTACCACTTGAGCCGCGTTTCGCTCTGCTACCATTTGTGCCGTCTTACGGCCTGCTACCACAGCACCGTCACTCTCTGGCACCTTTCGGCTCCGTCTACCCTTCATCAATCAGAGGTGGAAACGTTGCTCCGTCATATGGCTCTCGTGCTGTGCTCGCACGCTCCCTAAGTTAGTGTAAGGGATCCAAGCTAGCAGCGTGGTAAATGTAGTTACAGATGATGGCAATAAATATATTAACTCTTTGACTGGCCGGGGGTGTTTTAAAGCCTGGATGATGCCAGCCGTTCCCTGTTGTTGGCGTGTTTTAACGCTTTGACAATCTCTTCCCTTCTTTGCTCTCTTGGCACTCATCAACCAAAGAAATATATATGATAGTTTTTGTGCATGTTTGTAAAGAACCCTTGTAAACTTTGTGGGGGTTTATATTACTGTCAGAACCCTCGGTTAAGGAAAAGGATAAGGAAAAGGTCAGAACATATTTCACATTCATTCAGTTTCACAATGGTTTCTCGCAGCAAGTGTCAGCGTGTTCCTACAAACCAGCTGGAAAGGGTTGTGAAGGAGATTTGTACTGATGATGATAGTGGCGATGAAATAATGATTCCCGAATTAGATAAAGTTGATAGTGACAATAATACAATGACAGACAGTGATCTTGAACATTTAGCTACCACGAGTGCGGTGCCTGACACGGCCATCTCATGAACGTACGGAGACATTGTACCAACAATAGTTCTATTTGCTAGTAGTTTCGGGATCAAAATTAATATAACACATAAAATGCATCCCTTTTCATGGATTAAAATTTTTTCTGGAGACGACTTGGTAAATCACATCACAACTGAAACCAATCGCTATGCTCACCAGCGCTTCAACACACATGAGTTAGCTCCTTACTCTCGAAAACACAATTACAAATAAGTCACATCAGAGGAAATCTGGACATACTTAGGAATTGTGTTCATGACAGGAATCGAAAAAGAACACCGTGAAATTGAAGAATATTTGTCCACTAGGCCCCTATTTCACACTCCATGGTATGGACAAAATATGTCTTTGCGGTTGAATAGTTTCATTCTATTCAAAAAGAACACAACAAACGAAAAATACAAGAAGAGAAATTACAGATTCAAAGATTTTATATTGGACTGTGTAGAAAAATGACTGAACCAAACAGACAGTGTGGAGAGGGAGAAGAGTCAAGGAATGAAGTGGATGACGAATCTATTGCGTCAGTCTCGAGTGCAGTCACGCCTCCGCCCTCGACCTTGAAAAGACCACCAGTGTAAGAGCCAGTAAATCGTCTAGAGGGTGGCCTGAAAATTCACAAAATGGTCCATGTTCCTCCCAGTAACAAGAAGAATGGTGCCCTGAGAAAGTGCCGCGTGAGTGCTAAGCACAAGATTAGAAAAGAAACAAGTGTCATGTGTGCAGGCTGTGGTGTGGCTCTCTGCAAACTTTCATGTTTCAATGTTTATCACACGAAGAAAAACTACTAAAGAGGTATGGAAAGGCATTTATTGCATAAAATATTGTCTTTTAATTAGTTCCTGAAAATTTCGTTTTTAAAAACCAATTTTTGTTGAAGTTGTTTAGGAAAAAGTAACTACATGCATTTTAGCGACATAAGGTTTAAAGGGTCTGACAGGAAGGGGTGGGATTTAAATACCCTTCGCGCCAGTCAAAGAGTTAACAAATAACAGAATTTAATATACACAACAGAAATTAAACAGAACAACTGAACTAACTGCACATTTATATGCTCGCACATAGCGGCATTTAACTCGGGCAGAATGGCCCATATTACTGGCGCAACAATTTGCCTTGGTTGCACGAAAACATAACTACTACATTATAGCCGGGCCACAGGCTGAGTCTAAATAAAATACACATTATAAATCATAAACACAGATATAACTGAGTGGTACGAGCCGCCGCCGTCCTACAAACCCACCGACGGGCGACCGCGGGCGATCTCACGTGCCGCGAACCAGCCCACTACTTGCCGAAACAAAAATTTGAACTCCCAGCCGAAGAGGAATTTGAAAGTCGCTCCGGCTGGCTCGGAGCCGCGAGCAAGGCCCTATGGTTCCATAACCACAACTGAACTCCGAACTCGAATTAACTTCCAAGCAAGGCTCCCAAGGGTAGAAAGGACGGGAGAGGGCAATACCACGTGACCCACTCCCGCATCGGGATGGGGTGGGGTATAAGTTTAAGAACAACGATCAAGGGGCTGGAAGCACATGACGTCAAACCGGAGTCAGTGCATTGCTCACTAGCTTGTTAGCTTTGCATTGCTAGCTTGCTACATATGCGTTGCTAGCTTGCTAGATTTGTGTTGCTAAATATGTAAGCTTTGCGTTGCTAGCTTTCTAGCTTTGGGTTGCTAGCTTTGCGTTCCTAGCTTGCTAGCTTTGCGTTGCTAGCTTGCTAGATTTGCGATGCTAACTTGCTAGCTTTGCTTTGCTAGCTTGCTAGCTTCGCGTTCCTAGCTTGCTAGATTTACGTTGATAGCTTGCTAGCTTTTCGTTGCTATCTTCCTAGCTTTGCGTTGCTAGCTTGCGACCATTGCGTTCCTAGCTTGCTAGCTTTGTGTTGCAAGCTTGCAAGCTTAGTAGATTTGCGTTGCTAGCTTGCTAGCTTTGCGTTGCTAGCATGCTAGCTTTGCGTTGCTAGCCTGCTAGCTTGTTTGCTAGCTTCCCGTTGATAGCTAGATTTGCGTTGCAGCTTGCTAGCTTTGCGTTGCTAGCTTGATAGCTTTGCGTTGCTAGTTTGCTAGCTTCCCGTTGCTAGCTTGCTAGCTTCGCTTTGCTAGATTTGCTTTGCCTTGCTAGCTTACTTTGCGTTGCTAGTTTTTTTGCTTTGCTAACTTGCTTTTCGTTGTTAGCCTCCTTTGCGTTGCTAGCCTGCATTGCGTTGCCTGCCTGTTTGCCTGCTTGACTGCTTGCCTGCTTGCCTGCCTGCTTGCTTTGCGTTCCTTGCTTGCTTTGTGATTCTCGCTTCCTTGGTTTGCGTTCCTAACTTCCTTTGAGTTGCTTGTTGCTTGCTTTGTGTTGCTTGCATCTTTGCTTGCTTTGCTTTGTTTCCTTTCTTGCTTGCTTTGCGTTGCTTGCTTGCTTTGTTTGTTTGCTAGCTTCCTTTGCCGTTCTTGCTTGCTTGATTGCTTTACTTTGCTTTCTTGCATTGTGTTGCTTGCTGGTTGGCTTGTTTGCGTTGCTTGTTTCTTGTTTGCTTCCTTGCGTTGCGTTGCTTGCTTGCTTGCTTTGCGTACCTTGCTTGTTTTCGTTGCTTGCTTGTTTGCTTCCTTTCGTTGCTTGCTTGCTTGCTTGATTAATTTGCGTTGCTTGTTTGCTTGCTTGCTTGATTTGCGTTGCTCTCCTGCTTGCTTTCTTGCGTTGCTTGCTTGCTTGAATTGCGTTGCTAGCTTACTAGCTATGCGTTGCTAGCTTACTAGCTCTGCGGTGCTAGATTGCTCGTTTTGAGTTTCTAGCTTGCTAGCTTTGCGTTGCTAGCTTACTAGCTCTGCGGTGCTAGATTGCTTGTTTTGAGTTTCTAGCTTGCTAGCCTTGCGTTGCTAGCTTCCTATGTTTGCGTTGCTTGCTTGCTTGCTTTGCGTTGCTTGCCTGTTTGTTTGCTTTGCGTTTCTTTCTTGCTATATTTAAGTTGCTATAGCTTGCTAGCTTTGCGTTGCTAGCTGGCTAGCTTTGCGATGCTAGCTTGCTAGGTCTCCCTTGCTAGCTTGATGGTTCTGCGTTGCTAGCTTGCTAGAATTCCGTTTCTATCTAGCTAGCTTAGAGTTGCTAACTTGCTAGCTTTGCGTTGCTAGCTTGCTAGTTTTGCGTTGTTAGCTTGCTATCTTTGCGTTGCTAGCTTCCTACGTTTGCGTTGCTTGCTTGTTGCTTGCTTTGCGTTACTTGCTTGCTTGATTAGCGTTTCTTGCTTGCTNCGTTTGCGTTGCTTGCTTGCTTCCTTGCTTTGCGTTACTTGCTTGCTTGATTAGCGTTTCTTGCTTGCTATCATTACGTTGCTAGCTTGCTAGCTTTGCAATGCTAGCTTGCTAGCTTTGCGTTTCTAGCTTGATAACTTCGCGTTGCAAGTTGGGTACCTTTCCGTTGCTGGCTTGCTAGCTTTGCGTTGTTAGCTTGATAGCATTGCGTTGCTAGCTTGCTAGCATTGCGTTGCTAGTTTGCTGGCTTTGCGTTTTTTGCTTGCTTGCTTTCTTTGCGTTGCTTGCTTGTTATGCGTTTATTGCATGCTACTTTGCGTTGCTAGCTTGCTAGCTTTGCGTTGTTAGCTGGCTAGCTTTGCGTTTCTTGCTAGCTATCATTAAGTTGCTAGCTTGCTAGCTTTGCAATGCTAGCTAGCTAGCTTTGCGTTGCTAACATGATAGCTTCGCGTTGCTAGTTGGCTATCTTTCCGTTGCTAGCTTGATATCTTTGCGTTGTTTCTTGCTTGCTTGCTTTCCTCGTTTTTGTTTGTTAGCATTGCGTTGCTAGTTTGTTATCATTGCGTTGTTAGCTTGCTGGATTTGCGTTATTTGCTTGCTTGCTTGCTTTGCGTTGCTTCCTTGCTTGCTTGCTATGCGTTTCTTGCATGCAACTTTGCGTTGCTAGCTTGTTAGCTTTGCGTTGCTAGCTGGCTAGTTTTGCGTTGCTAGATCGCTAACTTTGCGATGCAATCTTGCTAGGTCTGTCTATCTAACTTGATGGTTTTGCGTTGCTAGCTTGCTATGTTTGCTTTTCTAGCTTGCTAGCTTTGCGTCTCTATATTGTTAGCTTTCCGTTTCTAGCTTGCTAGCTTGCTAAATTTTTCGTTGCTAGTTTGCTAGTTTTGCGTTGCTAGCTTGAGAGCTTAGCGTTGCTATCTTGCTAGCTTTGCGTTGCTAGCTTGCTAGCATTGTGTTGCTAGCTTGATAGCATTTCGTTGTTAACTTGCTAGCTTTCCGCTGCCAGTGTGCTAGCTTTGCGTTACTAGCTTGCTGGCTCTGCGTTTCTTGGTTGCTTGCTTGCTTTGCGTTGTTTGCTTGC